CGAGTAATTCGAGTCAAGTAAATTAAAAATCCATTAAAAATTCTTGTAAAGCCGAATAAAGTATATTTTAAATTGCAAATACGAAAAAAAAAAACAAAAGGGGTTTCAAAATTAAAAAACAGATACCCATTTCAAAAGAAATAAGAGATTATTTGTTTCAAAATAAGTAATCTATTACAAAATAAGTGATCTATAAATCTATTTTTATTATATATTAACAGCGCTTTAACGATTATTACATAGACAAAAAAGTTTAAATAAACATTATTTCATTTTCCTATTTTAAAATTTTAATTTAAAATACAAATATAATTTGTTTTAAAATACGCTAATTTTGAAACCTCTAATATTGCTATATCGATATATAATCGTTATATTAGTAATTTAACTCATAAATAAGTAACTCGCGAGTTTCGAATCGTGATCACGAGTTGACGAGTCCAGTCACTACTCTGGTTTTAAATCTGTGTCAGATTAAAATCCATATATTTCTACTAATTCTAACATAGACACCCTAATCTAATACGTAGAACTCTGCAGTTAAATTTTAATCTGACACAAATTTTAATCTGATACGTACACAACATATCGCAAATCCGAATTACATTATTTCTAAATTAGTAATTAAAAATTTTATGGGTCAACCGGGTAAGCATAATTATTCCGAAGCTCTAGTTCAAGGAACCAACACGGATCAGCCTGACAACAGTTATTTTACATAATATTCTTCGAACAAGCACTGCATCCATATAGTCAGGTCTAGAATATATATTTTAAAAAAAAAATTTTTTTAATGAAAAGCTTTAGAGAAAATTAATGAAATATTTTATCAAATTGTTTTTACAACAAATTAATAATAATATGTTTATTATTTATTTCGAATTAGAAGTCAAATTAGAAGTTAGAAAAACATACTGTATATTGGAAAATTTTTCAATTAAAAAAACCAAATATTTATATTCATCAGGACTATTTTTTATTTATCATGCCTCACGCTTTGCATACTGGTCAAATTATATATAGATATTTGTTTATATTCAAATATTAACTTGTATATGTTGTGCCTCAGACTAACACTTGCCTCAGATCACAGCTGACGCACCTCCGATTCAGATCGTCAGGTGAGGTGCGTAAACTACGTATTGATATATCATCTAAACTGCAATTTGACGAAAGTAAGAGAGTAAAATAAATTGAATAAAAGACTTTTGACTTGGACGCTTTTTTTATTCTTGCTTTCTTGAATCTCTTTGGCGTTTTTCTTATTGGTAGCATCCAGCACCTCTATTCTTTTCTTTAAATTTCTTTTCCCAAATTTTGTGGCACATTCTATTTCCTATGCACTTTTTTTTCTATACGTATGGTTTTGTTTTTTTTTCCTAAATTTTCTCTGCATACTCTTCCTGTTTAAGCCTTCTCGGCATGTTCAACTTGAATAATACATTTTATTCTATACATATTTTTTTTTTGAGTAATAACTGATCGATAGGTTACGCACCTCATCTAACAATCGTTAGTCTAAGGCACAACATATACATCTATCTATACTATTAAAATTTTGTCCCTTTTGTAATTTGATTGGTTGATTTAGATACCCGTGAATCTGTCTGTAGACATTCTTTTCGATAATAATAATATCAGTACTATTTTATTTTTGTTCGTGATAATTTAGGCGTGAATATAAAAATTATTTATTAATCAAAGTATTTTAAATAAAATAATTAAGTTCATAAATATTTAATTTAGCGTTTAGCAAGTTCATGATGATATAAAAAATGTCTGATTACTATATAATTGTAATGAAAATACACGTAAAACTTCATCTATTATTTATTGATTTTAAAATATACAAAAAAATCTGAATGCCAATAACCCGTCTTCTTAAAATGTACAATTGACAAAAAATGTCTCTCGATGTCTCTAACTACCTCTTGCAATTTCTTCGCTACTACTAACTTCATCAAAACTTTCTATGCACGCAACAATTTTATCCTCTCCAACCTTTGCGAAAACTTCATTTTTTGATCACTCATTTCAAGTTTCAAAGCGGCGTGGTATAAGTCAAATATCTTTACCACCTTCAAAAATAATAATATAAATATCTATTACAATAAAAAATCAAATAAATTAAAATTGAGTAAATAATAATAAATTTTTTTTTACTATATATTATACTTACTTTAATAGTAGGTTGAAATTTCTTGCTTTGACCTCTGGTATTGTAATATTAAAAAATGAGCGACAGAAGAGCGAGTGCAGAGCAATAACAAATTTGCTCTGAACATTTGTTCAGAGACTTCTATTGTTACGTCGCAGAACATTTCCTGTTCAAAAAAAGCACCAAAATCATGACGGAAAACATAATATGCACTAATAATAATATTTATATTTTGATCCAAAAAGTAGAACCTTCCACCATTATGATCCCCGTCTCTTTCGAATAAGATTCTTTAACCTGGTAGTGCTTTTCAAGAAAGTGCAACTGATTTCCACATACTTATCAGTAATTCTTGTAAAGCTTTGAAAAAATTTCTGAAGGGAGTTTTTGTGGTTTTTTCACTTGCCTTGTATATCTTTTGAGTGTGTAATAACAAGAGTTATATTTAATGTGCCTTTTATAAACTAAATTTACGTGTTTTTTTGTTTACATAGGGTTATTAATGGTAGTGTTACAAGCCATAAAATTTTGCCAGCTGATAAAAAATTCGGCCAAATTTTTTACTTTGGAAAATATCGGAAAATTTTCTTAACCCTGCTCGTCTTCGAGGTTACTAAATTATACCACCTAAAGTCATGTGACCTTAAGCCACTAGTTAATGGAACTAGTGTTCCGCAGAACCGAACCGAAATCAAATAGTGTACATTGATTGGCTGTATTTTGGGTCTTTTGAGTCGATTCCAAGTTTTTTTTTGTTTTCTTGGACTCGACCCGATTTTTCGGTTCAGGTCCGGATCCTTAAAGAACCCGCCGGAACCTGTCCGTGCGGAACATTACTTTCTGAAAATAGCGAGTAATGACAAGACAGAAGTGATCTCGGGGTTAGTTGTAACCCGCAAGTTATTAACCAATGATCAAACCATGATCTCTAATTTTATAAATGGTTTTAATACGGTTAGGCATGCTTAAGATTAAATAATGAAAACTGATATGGTTTTCCCTTTTTTTGGATGGTCCGAAGCGTAACGGAGGATCCTCAATTTCTATACATTAAATGATACACAAATTACGTTTTTTTGATGCGCTTCGACCAAAAAAGTTACTTTTGATGAACGCAATTTTAAATTGTCTGCCCACCGCGTGCATATTCACGCGCGTTTGTGTAATAAGATGATACTTCTAGACTGTGGGGTCCAATCTAAAATATATATATTAAGTTAATGTTATTAAGTTATATAAGACTTGGATAGAATTCGGAACCGGATTGTTCACCGGTTATGAAGTACTTTTAATATTTTTACTCAAAATCGAACGTCCTCAACTTCAGGCAATTGTTATAAGTATTACCAACACTAAATATAAGCATGACTTCAATCAATTACAAAAGTGTTCAATTCTATAATAAAGAATTATCGAATTTTAATTTGGTACTATTTTGGATGCTAGAAATAACCAGTCACTACAATTACAAAAACATTTAAATGATGCAGCACAATAGCCGAGCATCAAAACTTGATTATTCAATTCCATATATTTTACAAAATTTTGGGTAGCACCCTAAATGATTTATTTAACAAAATAACTTTTTTTTTATAAGAACGTCACGTCTATTATGTACAAATTGTAAAAAGGGAACACAAAAGTACAAAGCACTAAAAAAAATACAAGTTTTTTTTCTTTTAAGGAAAAAAAGGGGACACAAGAAAAACGTAAACCTAGCCAAATAGCAAAACGAACCGATCATCTGTCATTTCCTTATCAAAAGGATGAAAAAAATGTAAGGGAACCAACATTAAAAGTCATTAACCAGGGCACATGCACAGGTGAATTGCACAGATTACAGAGAAAAAGTTTTGAATTTGATCGTGTAATGAGTCAAATAGAAATCGAGAGCAGAAAATTTTAAGGTTACGAAACATTTCGTTAAGACGGACACTCTGACATTCAAGAACAAGGAAAAAATTGATAATTATAAATGGGATAAAACATAGCAGGCAAAAAGAAAAAAAAACACCATTATCAGATAGTGTTCGTGAACAAATAATACATCACATTGTGCATGATGAATATCTGATTCAAGAGTATTACGAGATTTAATAACGATTGTTATATCCACCACTTCTGCCGCCGCCGCCGTAACCGCCTCCGCCGCGTCCACGACCTCCTCGTCCACCACCACCATAACCTCCACCACCACCATTGTAGCCGCCACCACCAGATCGTGAAGAAGAGGAGGACGAAGAACGTTCCGAAGCACGGTCAACTATCCATATAATGAAACTTTAGTTAAGTGTTCAAATATTAATAATATTTTATTTGAAAATGAGTAAATATATACCCTTAATAGTTCGTCCGTCGAATTCTTGCTCATTCATATTTTGGATCGCGACCTCGGCTTCTTCATTACTAATAATTATTGTAAGACTTCAGTAATTGATAAATTTGAAATTGAAAATAGAATAAAATATACTTACGATGAATAAGTTACGAAACCGAAACCACGGCTACGACCTTGATAAGCAAACGAGCAAACGAACATAATAATAAAGGATAAAGAGAATGGGTAGGGACACAATAGATTGAATTATTGGGACATGTTACACATATACACACACTTATAGTAACACCTCTGTTGACAAGTCACACAAAACAAACACGTGAGGGTAAGGGGAAAGGGAAGATAGCAGACAGAAAGGTTAGCATCCTTTATATTCGCAGTGAGATGGTTCCTGACAAAATTTGTTTGGAAGTCTCGCGAAGGTAACAAGGTTGCTCAAAAAAAGAACGAACAACAAAAAGAGAACCAAAATATTTTCATATAACAAATAGAGGCACCTAGCAATTATAAACCAGTTGCCATGATAACACACTCACCAGTGTCACGATCGCGAATGACAACGGCATCCTCAACGCTGCCATACTCTTCAAACCTATTCCTAAGAGAACGGTCGTCAGTTCCCCATGCTAAACCACCAACGAACAATTTAACGGACATAATAACTAATAGAGAACAATTTTTTTGAGAACAGGCGAAATAGTTTAAAAAAAAAAACGGTGGGAAAATCTGTCATTTTAATAGAAAAAAGATAAAACGGGGTGGACCCCGTATGCGCTTCCAACAATCATTCCATTTCAAGCTTTTTTTTTGGCAAAATCATTTGAAAAAAAAGTATACAATAGTGACTAAATTATCCATATAAAAAGTAATTTAAAATTATATAGTTTTATTTTATAATTATTATAATATAATTAGATAATCTTACCCAAGCCCCCAGTATTGTGAATCCGTGCAAAAACGAAAGGAATACATTGTTCAACGAAATCGCGCGTGACACGAATTTTGACGATCTTTTTTTTCTGCCAACGAATTTTACACAATCTCCTTAGCCAGTCTTTTAATTGGACAATTTTAAAGAAGTATATCTGATATAGTCAATAACTACTGTATATACAATTAATTTAATCACGTTTTAATGTATGAATGTGTAATAATCCTTTATACTGCGAGTCAAATTTTGATTCTTTCAGCCTATCTTTTAAACATAAATTTGCATAATATATATATTGAGTTCAGTTTTATAAGTAATTATGCACTTTGCGTGTCAACAATGAATAAAAAATTTTTTACTTATCAAATCAATAATACATATAATAAGTATATAATTGAAGCTAAGTTTTTTTTCGAATTGGGGATATGTTAAATAAACTGAGACCATCCCTCTTCCTTCTGAGAAATGTAGTTATCCTGATTGGTTATATGTATATATTAGACCTACCTCCCTCCCACCCCACGATATCAGCTGATATCTGGCATATTTACCTTACTAAACAAATTCGTCCTAATATTTGATGATAACTCGCATTGCTAGACCATGTCCTCACCTTTAACAAACATTTCGGAGATTGGAATTTCAATAAAAAGGAATTTTTTTGCCAAGTATAACGTTGAGACATGGTTTATAATTCTCTGCTGTAGGATAGGATTTCCAGATTGATCATAATGAATATAACTAATCAAGTTGGGTTAATGTTAAGGAAATTAATTAAATGTAATTAATGTAATTAATAATTTGATACACATTATTTTACAAAAGTGTGAAATAAGGATCAACATTTTTTGCAAAATAATATTTATATTATTTAGTGAAGGATACGGTAAGCGCAGTACAACCATACTGTTTCTTGGTAATGAAATCCCTCTAAACATATGATCATCACTTTGTAAATTGAACATCGGTGATATTATGGCGTCATCCTTTATACGATTCTAATAAATGAATAAATGAATAGTATGATACATATATAGATATTTTCCAAATTATCAATTCAAAAAAATCTAGTACCTTGATAATTGGGTTCAACACCATCATTACTGATGAATCAGGTGTTACAATAATTATCCGTTGCAGTTGAGCTATAGTTAAAGTGTTCGTCGAACTACTACAAGGACAAAGAATATATATGGGTAGATCCTGCTCTAATATGTTATGCGCTGTTTCCTAATAATTCAAATTAAAAATAAAAAATAAAAAATAACAATAAAAATAAATAAATAAATAAAATAAATTGAATAATTTTAGTTCTCGTGAAATTTGATTGGGTTAATACCTTGATATGTCCTGCATGTCCGAGCTTGCAGACTTGTCCACCACCGCAACTCATAAATCTATGACCAAGAGGACACTCGTACTCAACGCCTAGGTATCCCTTAAGCAATGCATGTTCGCCTTTGGTAATATCCTTTGTCACAGGAGTTACTGTTACAAAAGGTGGCACTATTTTTTCACTTTCCTTCTTTTGACTATTTTTACTTTCACACCTATTACGTTTTTCTTTATTTATATCACCGGTCTTGAAACATTGCACATTTGATATGACAGATTGTGTTTCATCTAGTTGTATGGGATTCTTTTGAACATCCCGAATCAACTGGATAAATTCATTTAAATAAAACGCTGACGGTATAGTCCATTGCTGATTATCTGGACGATAAATCGTATATTCAAGACGTTGAAAATGAATATCGCATAAAAGTAACCATATTAAGCAATAATTGAAGCATTATAACTTACTTTCACTTCCTAATATCGGCCACGTAGATCCGCAGTCATTCTTTGTATCATCTCCATTTTTTCCTTTTTGTTTAAATCCTTTTCTTGAGGGATTGATCAACTTATCTTCTTTCATTCTAGATTTCTTAACTTTATTGATATCATTACCAACTACATCAATTGTCCACCCGTGCGTTTCTTTCACTCTCGTCAATTCATCTTGAACTTTTTTCGTTAAATTAGCTATCAATGGAATTTCCAGTGGTAAAAGGAAATTCGCATTTGTGATAAAGCCTTCCAATTTATCTAAACCAGAATTAGAACGATATGTTGAACCAGAACCAATCTGCATGAGTGACCACATTGAAGTGGAAATTTGGTGCTCAATGGGTAATACGAGGTAGTTATAACCTTCTGAATTACAACAATTTGGAAATTGGAAGAAAGTTACATTGGCATCCTAACGGGATGCGATACAATTAAACCATTTAATCAATAAATAATTCTAACCATTAAAATATTGTTAAACCCATTACCACTAAATCAAATGGGTCTTCTCTTTCTCGGCAACTTCTCCCACAATTGCATGCATGAAGTGCTTGAAATGCACTCCTGTGCCTTACTGCTTTTTTAACATTACATTTCTCCCCATCAACATTATCTGAGTCATGATTTGCCTGTTTAATATATAATGTTATCAATAGAATTCAAAATAAATTACGATGCACGAATAATATACATATACGCACTCCCAGTACACACTCATGACCAGATAGACTTTGTATTTCACATTTTTGTCTTCCGCGTTCCCAGATACTGTAGCATTCCTGCCGTAGTTTTGCGGCATAATCTTGTATACAAGGTCCACGTGCAGATGACATGTAGGATTTCATTGCATGATCCAGCTACAATATATATATATATCATATATAATAATATTAAGTGATATGAAACATAATATATACAATTAACCGAATGCTTAATCACCTTAATTTCGTGATATTGTTTAGTATAATATGTAGGTGATTCTAACAAATATATATCGATAGCTTTCCTCAACACTTGAGCACAATGACTGAGTTGAAAAATAAGGTAAATATGAGATTACTCGAAAACATAACAATTCAGCGATATGCCAATTTAAGTTTAGCTGCATTACTTTGCAGAATATCGACTATTAACTTGCACACAATCTTTTAATCTCCTATTAAGGGTATCATCTACGGCACTGAAACTTTTTCGTTCTAAAATCTTTTTCCCAAGTTTGCCAAATAATAACTCTTGTAGGGCAATACAACCTGCAATCCACTGCTTGGCATTCGGAAGCTGTGTTTAAAGGATTCAAATTTTTTATTAATTGTTTCCACATGAGTACGTGATAATATAAGCGTACCTCGCTTGGTGCCATTCCACGCTTAATAAAACTCCTCGGATAACCAGTTGCAGCCCATTTTATCCAACCAAGAGCAAAATCTTTTAATAATTTTATTTCAAAATGGTCAGCATTTCTTAAATCAAGTTTGCGCCTACGCAATAAAGACTCAATGTCCATTTTTTCATTTTCATGAGGCTTTATGTTAGAGATGAAAGCAAAAGGTGGATCTGATGACAATAAATTGCCCGTAGACCCACGCGTTATAAGATGAATAAAGAATTGTGAAGAAGGAGGTGGGAGTGTAAAGAGTTGACGGCTATAAATGCACCATATATGCATATTACATATATATGAGTAAATTTAATATTTCATATTTCACTGGACTATAGATCCTTAATTTACGATACCTATCAAATGACGCATGCAAATCACTAGTTTGCACAAGATGGCATGTACGAAATAAAAAGCGAATACGCGCTTGTAAAGCTTCTTTTATCCTTTTTATGCTACCTGAAACTGCCTATTCATGTGTGCAAAGGAATGCGTTAGAAAAATTAACTTTGTCGTGTATCTAAATAATGTCGTCTCTTAAAACTTTTTTCAACTTGCTTCTGATTTATTTCCATCTATTATAGAGACGGTAGATAGTTGAACCTATATGAACCAATATGAGAATGTTGATAAGTAATTACAGGTTAATTAATAAAAGTTCGATTTTACCTCCTGAAATAAAAAAATGATGAAAGGAACACATCGTCCAGGTGTCATCATTCCACCCTGAGCAGTCCCCGTTCGGCTACTACCACCGTATCCGCCCATGAAAGATGTTCCATATGGTAGAGGTATCTCTAAATGGTTCAGGCACAAATTAATGAAATTATTCGCATGTGGCATAATATGCCGTTTGACTGAAGATAGGGTTCGAAGCAAGGAAACCATATTGGAATCTAATTTTGATATCGGCTGTGCCAACTTTATAAAGCAAGGTTATATATAGTTTTAACCTAAAGAGAAAAAAAAATTAATTAAATTATACTTACTACCACCACATGAGATAACATAAATGCGAACACTAACATTCGCAAGCAAACATGTTCATCTTTCCAAATTTGACTCTGAAATTCTTGCTTTTATTAAAATAAAAACTAAATTTTACCATCTTACTGTATTAAGCGCGAGTAAATCATATTCAAAGTTTTACCTCATTCTCAATGGTAGGTTGAACCTCCTGCCATAATTGTAAAAATGTTTCAGAATTGTTTACTGAATCCATCAAAAGATATATCGTATTCTTTGATGGATCGCAATGCATCCATAAACAGTGCTAAAATGTGCAGAAAACGCGTTGTAATATACATTTCTCAAAGAGAAAGAAAAACAAATGATAAAAAAGTAATATTGAATCCTTACATTTTTACCATTTGTTGCCACTAAACTCGCTCTGTTAGACCGACAGTTACAATTTTTAACGCAACAGGCCGACTAAGAATTACAAGTGATTACATTTGTAACTTTTCAAACGACGCGTAAGAACGCAGTTATGAATGTTTAAAAATGTTCATTACTTGTCCAAACACGTTCTTTTCAATAATTGCATTAGCGATTGAACTTATTTTCGAAGTCGTGTCACTTTGTGAAAATCCAATAAATGTCACAACGGACACGGTCGCAAAATTTTGAAATTTTGAAGCTTCGAATAATCCTAATAAAAGCGAATATAATTTATAGGTTAACATCAAAATGTTTACCACACTAAATTACCAAAAATTTAATACGCAATACTAACGATCAAACTTTTGCTTCAGGGTGTCAAGGCTTGAAGGTTCCTCATGATTTATATCCTCTTCCGAATACATTGTACAAATATTGTCATGTAAAAATAAATTAATTAATTATATTGATATATCGGTATCGATATCAGATATGGAGCTGACCAATAAAAATTTGATACATTTTTGATCTGACTAAATTATAACTTGTATCAAGTTTCTCCTTCATATCTTATGAATTACAATGAGCGAATCAGTGCCAACAGATCTTCAATCGTGCGTCAAAGACGAACGTCTTGTTGACAAAGAGAAACAAAGGGAAATTGATTTGAAGGAATTTCCGGCTACTGCAAATGGTGTTATAGATGCCTATCCGGGATTAAATAGTCAAGACCTTCAAAATGTTATCTTACTTATTGTCCTTTGTATGTTTTTTGATGGACAATTTGTAAAGTTACGTTCTAGATTATCGCAATAAAACTTCATTCTTATTTTTGATATATCAACTTGTAGATTTGCTCCAAGGAATTCCTGTTGGTTTAGCATTCGGTTCTATACCTTTCCTCCTTAAGTCCAAATTGTCATATTCGCAAATAGGAATTTTTTCTCTAGCTACATATCCTTATTCACTTAAATTACTATGGTCTCCAATTGTGGATGCTTTATATTCAAAAAGTGTCGGACGCAGAAAAAGTTGGATAATACCTATTCAATTATTGACAGGAAGTTTATTTTTTTGGCTCGGGAATAACATAGATCAAATACTCGAGGTGTGTTTCATTGATTTACATGGAGGCTTTATCGGTACAAATTTAATCAACAAATCATGCTATCTCAGTTTCGTTAGTATGAAGCTTGCTGAGCATTGATTTCCGCTGGTTTTGATTACTTCTCCTTCTATGTCATTATAGGAGAAGCCAGATATCTATTCCTTGACTCTATTGTTTTTCACGTTAATATTTCTTTGCGCGACACAAGGTAATTAAAAGTACTACTAGTTATTCGGTAAATTTCATCATTTTGAAGATGCTAATTATATCCTTTCAATTTTAAACGAATCAAGATATCGCAGTTGATGGTAAATATTTTATTATCTAATAAAGACTTATATACATAATATTTGTGATTTCACATATTCATAATATCTATTTTTATCTAATTAGGGTGGGCTTTGACTTTACTATCCAAAAATAGTTTGTCTTATGCATCCTCTGCACAAACTATCGGGTTGAATACTGGATATTTTTTATCTTTTACTGTTTTTCTTGCATTCAATTCCGTAGAATTCAGGTAATATTGCATTTCATTATATAAATATATTTATAAGAATTTAGGATTAATATGTTAGTTTTTGTCAGCAATAAGTATTTTAGAAGAGAGCCGCATGATGAAAGTCTTTTGACGCTTGGGTCATACCTATCTTTTTGGTCCGTAGCTTATTTTGCAGTGACATTCTGGTTAATATTTGTTAAGAAAGAGGTGAGTTTTTTGAGTAATCGTTTAATGGCTTTAATGCGATATGTTATGTTTTATATATATTTATTCCAAATAAAGGATTCCTCGCATCCCGACGATGAGATGGATATTACAACTGTTTATAAAACGATATGGAATATCTGTAAAATGCCCCGTAAGAGTTTATTTCTTTTATTCTCAAAGATGTGATTTTTGTTGCAGCAATACATTTCGAGATTACTAATGCGTTTACCTAATTATTATATGTGACTTATAGATTTGCGCAAGTTTATTGCAGTGCTTTTAGTGGCAAAAATTGGTTTCATAGCAAATGAAACCGTCACTGGGCTTAAGCTACTGGAGAAGGGATTTAGCAAAGAAGACTTGGCTTTGGCTGTTTTGATAGATTTCCCCTTTCAAATTATGGTCGGATACTATGCAGCTAAATGGAGTAATGGTAGTGAGCCTCTGAAACCGGTATGTTTATAGTGTAAATTTTCACTAATCTACATGTCCATTATATCATATGAACGATTTATAACTTATCCTTATCATTAGTGGATATACGCTTTTTACGGGAGACTCATTTTCGCCATTGTTGGCATGCTGGTCGTTCTTATGTATCCTAATAATAATGAGATATCCCTTGGCTTCTTTTTCTTTGTGATTTTTAGTACCGTAATGAGTTCTTTTATGAGGTAAGATTTTTTTAACGTTAAGTTGCCATCTCCAATTTAATTGTCATATATAGGTATATCCTATTATATATTTATAAACCATTACACAGATAATAATCTTGGCTTTATTACGAATCAGCACGGTTCAATTTGTCAGCATTTCAGCATTCATGGCATTAATTGCCGATCCTACGATTGGTGGAACATATATGACTGTAAGTAACTATAGTTGATAAAAAAATAAATTTAAGTCTTAACTTTCTTTTTAAATATTATAATATAGCTTTTAGCGACATTTAGCAATCTGGGTGGTACATGGCCTCGCTTTTTTGTCTTGGAAGCAGTGGATTATTTTACTGAAGCTGTATGCTATAATAAAACGAACCCGGCAAATTGTAAGTTCAATCACCCTTTAAATTTGAAAAGTAATTAAAATTTTAACTCATTAAATATCATTAGTCGTTAATTGCGTTACTGAAGAGGAAAAGGCCGATTGTAAGTCAAGTGGTGGTACTTGTATTGTTAGTCAAGATGGATATTTTTTTGTTTCCAATCTGTGCGTTTGTGTTGGTTTCTTCTTGTTGGTCGTATTCATTTTACCTCATGTCAAGCATCTACAGTGTAAGTTTAAGATTTTGTTTTACTTTTTATACTCTTTTTACTTAATCTATATTAATCAGCATTTTACTTTCTTTACAGCATTGCCGCCAAAAGCATGGAAGCTAAAAAAGTAACACTTTAAATCGATTTTATCAAAAGATTTAATAACCAGAAAAAAAACATTGATTCATCGTATACCAAACTTTCATCTAAATCATTCTAATTTTTAGTAGAAATAATCACTTTTGTTTTTTGAATAAAGGAGAAAATACAGTCTAGTTTGTTTTTACATATTTCGTATTGTAATTGCATAACTAATTTAGAAGATCGAACGTAAATGAGATAGATAAATAAACTTTGTACAAAAAGCTGTAAATCGAGCACATTCGTAATAAAATCAGACGTGCTTAATCTATTTTATCAAAGAAACCAAGTCTCATCAACAAATAAACCTAATATCAATAGTATTTTTTTGCGCTATCATTATATTCAAATTTTAGAACTACTTATCAGGTAGTCATTTAAAAAAAAACCAATATTTGTCTATCTCAATTTATTTCTAGCAACAGAATTTTTAATTTTTGAAAAGCAATTTTCAATAGGGTTTAAAAAAGGAGAATAAGATGTAAATATAAAAGTAGTATTTCTAACAACTTCCTTTAACTGAGTCCTATCTAAAGTAGTAGAGTATGTAAAACAAAAATAGTAGCGTAGTACGACTTTAGATCTTTATACTCGTACGTATAAATCAGTATAGTAAGTATGAAAACGATCATACGTGTAAGTAATGATCTGAACCGGGTAAAAAATTCTTAATCGGTTAACCGAGTTAACTTACCCGGATACAATCGGTTTAACCGTA